TTAAAATAAAGTTTGATGTTGGAAAATAAAAATCAGAACAACTTCTTAGTGCAAAAAGTTCTGTTCTAAATCACCAGTGAGTTAATTAAGCATTTCAAAGGGCAGTGATTATAAACATTAACTTGCTCTGATGCCCACAGAATTAACCAACACTACTGTCAAGAGCGCTTTATCTCAGGCTAACAAACTCACCAGAGTTTACCGAAAAGAAAGGAAAAATTTTCAGGTTGTGGGCACACACAAATACAAAAGTAAGTTGTACTTATGTGATATTAGACGAACACCGAGAGAAGCCACTTCAATCTGTTTTCAAACCGACTGTTTTCCACTGTCTCTCGTTGTTCAGGCCTTTCCCACACCTCTCCCTGCCTCTGCCTCACCCCCTCCCCCTCCTCCTTCCTCTGCCCTGTTTTGCCCCCTCTCTGTGCCTGAGTTCCTCCCTAATTAGTGATAATGTAGGAAGAAACTTTCTAATATTTACTGAGTGTCTCTCCCAGGCTTGGTGCTCTGAAGGCTAGCACCCCGCTGGCACAAACAGTTAAGTGCTGACCTACTAGCCAGAAGGTTGGGGTTGGAACCCATCCAGAGGCACCTTGGAAGACGGGCCTGGCACTCTGCTCCTGCGAGTTCACAGCCTGGGAAGCCCCATGGAGCAGTTCTGTTCTGCACGCATGGGGTCATCACGAGTCGGCATTGACTAGACAGCGAGCAGCAACACTTTTCTATAAGTTACTATACTAAGCTGTGTCTTATCACTCTTGCTTTTGCTTCAGAGGTTGATTCTGCCTGGAATGCTCTTTTTTTTTTTTCCCAACACTTTATTAGGAAATTTTTCAAACATACAGTAAAGTCAGAAGAATTTTACAGTGAGCACCTATTACCCACCATCCGGATTCTATCATTAACATTTTACCATACTTACTTTGAAGCCCCTGAGTAATGCAAATGATTTATACACTTGGTTGCTAATGGGGAGGTTGGTGGTTCAAGTCCACCCAGAGGCATCTCAGAAGAAAGGCCTGGCAATCTGCTTCCAGAAGGTCACAGCCACTGAAAACCCTATGGAACACAGTTCTCCTCTGACACACATGGGGTCACCATGAGTTGGAATCAGTTTAATGGCAACTGGACTGGTACACTTGCCTTATCATCTTGCCTGTCTTCTATTTGTTCCTGTATTCGGCCATCCATCCATCTTATATTTTTAGGCATTTCAAAGTAAATCACAGACGTTTTGTGCACTTCCCTTTCAATACTTCAATATACCTACCATGAACTAGAGTTCAATATTTGTTTACAGTGTTTTCATTTGAGGCAAAATTAGAATACAATAAGATGCACAAATCTGATGTGTATAGATGCTGAGTCTTAACAATTGCATTCAGCTGTGTGACCCAATCCCTATCAAGACATAGAACATTGTCCTCACCCCAGAAAGTTCCCACACGCCTCTTCCCAGGTACCTAGAATGTTCTTGCCCTCATTCTCTATCACCCCCATTTTCAGATGAGGAAACTGGGTTCAGAACTATGAAATAGGCTGCCCAAAGTCACACTCCTATTAATACAGCGGTGCTGGACTTTCCCCCAAGGCCTCTCTGACTCCAAAGCTATGCTTGTTCTACTACATATGAATGATTTGTGTGGTTTAGGGAGATTTTCACTTTGCTTAAAGGCCGGGGGCTGTTGTTTTTCTTTTAGAGTCTTTTCCCTGTGGAAAACTTACTGTGGGACGCAGTAAGAGGTCAGTGGCACAGGTCAACAACGGCAGCGGAAGCCCCGCAGAAAACTCCACCCTGGAGCGGTACGACCCTGGTGACTTTCCTCCTACAGAGAACCCT